TACATCAGCAACTAATAATATACTGATAATTAACAGTAAATAAATACAATCCAACACTAATCTATTTATTAAATGCACTGTTAACTCAACACAGGCGTGCACTCAAGGAAAGATTAAAAAAAGTAAAAGGAACTCGGCAAATGCAAACCCCACCTGTTTACCAAAAACATCACTTCTAGCACCACCAGTATTAGAGGCACCGCCTGCCCAGTGACAACCATTAAACGGCCATGGTATCCTGACCGTGCAAAGGTAGCATAATCATTTGTTCTCTAAATAAGGACTTGTATGAATGGCCACACGAGGGTTTTACTGTCTCTTACTTTCAGTCAGTGAAATTGACCCACCGATGAAGAGGCGGGAATAACAAGACAAGAAGACCCTATGGAGCTTCAATTAATCAACCCAAAAAACCATAATCTCAAACCGCCAAGGAATAACAAAATTTCACATGGGTTGACAACTTCAGTTGGGGTGACCTCGGAGCACAAAAAACCCTCCAAGTGATTAAAGCCTAGACCCACTAGCCAAAGCATAATATCACTTATTGATCCGAAAAATTGATCAACGGAACAAGTTACCCTAGGGATAACAGCGCAATCCTATTCTAGACTTCATATCGACAATAGGGTTTACGACCTCGATATTGGATCAGGACATCCCAATGGTGTAACTGCTATTAAGGGTTCGTTTGTTCAAGGATTAAAGTCCTAGTGATCTGAGTTCAGACAGGAATAATCCAGGTCGATTTCTATCTATTACACATTTCTCCCAGTATGAAAAGACAAGAGAAAAAAGGCCCACTTTAAAAAGCGCCTTCAAAACAATTAATCATCTAATCTCAACTTAATAAGCAAGCACAAACTAACCACCCAAGACCAGGGTTTTGTTAGGGTGGCAGAGCCCGGTAATTGCATAAAACTTAAACCTTTATGCCCAGAGGTTCAAATCCTCTCTCTAACAAAACGTTTATAATTAACATTTTAATGCTCATCATTCTTATTCTCCTAGCCGTGGCATTCTTGACATTAGTAGAACGTAAAATCCTAGGCTATATACAACTCCGAAAAGGACCAAACATTGTAGGAACTCACGGCCTACTCCAACCCATTGCCAATGCAATTAAACTATTCACTACGACCAGCTACAGCCTCCACCTCCATATTTATCATCGCACCCATCTTAGCCCTAACCCTAGCTCTCACAATATGAATCTCCCTACCCATGCCATACCCCCTCATCAACATAAAACTAGGAGTATTATTCATACTAGCAATATCAAGTCTAGCCATATACTCTATTCTATGATCTGGCTGGGCCTCCAGCTCAAAATACGCATTAATTGGAGCCCTACGAGCAGTAACACAATCTCATACGAAGTAACACTAGCAATCATCCTCTTATCAGTGCTCTTAATAAATGGGCCTTCACCCTATCAACCCTGACCACAACGCAAGAACAGTTGTGCCTAATCTTCCCATTCTGATCACTAGCCATAACATGATTTATTTCCACCCTAGCAGAAACCAACCGAGCCCCTTCTGACTTAGCAGAAGGAGAATCCGAACTCGTGTCTGGCTTCAATGTAGAGTACGCAGCAGGCCCCCTCGCCATATTCTTCCTAGCAGAATACGCCAGCATCATTACAATAAATATATTCACAATTCTATTTCTAGGAGCATTCCACAACCCCTACACCCAGAACTATATACAATTAACTTCATCATTAAAACACTACTACTAACAATATCTTTCCTATGGATTCGAGCATCCTACCCTCGATTTCGGCATGACCAAGCAACACACTTACTCTGAAAAAGCTTCCTACCTCTAACACTAGCCCTATGCATATGACATGTATCACTGCGCGTCATAACAGCAAGCATCCCTCCACAAACATAAGAAATATGTCTGACAAAAGAGTTACTTTGATAGAGTAAATAACAGAGGTTCAAACCCTCTTATTTCTAGAATCATAGGAATTGAACCTACCCTTAAGAATTCAAAGTTCTCCGTGCTACCATATTACACTACATTCTACAGTAAGGTAAAAGAGCTATCGGGCCCATACCCCGAAAATGTTGGTTTATATCCTTCCCGTACTAATAGATCCCATTATCTTTACCACTATCCTGACAACTGTCATTTTAGGACCTATAATAGTAATTACCAGCTCTCACTGGCTACTAGCCTGAATTGGATTCAAAATAAATATAATAGCCATCGTCTCTATTACAATAAAAAACTTTAATCCACGAGCCATAGAAGCCTCCACTAAATATTTTCTAACACAGGCCACCGAATCCCTACTACTTATAATAGCAGGCATCATTAACCTACTACACTCCGGCCAATGAACCATCACAAAGCTATTCAACCCAACAGCATCAACAATGATAACACCGATAAGATCAGTGCCCGGATATATGCCTTACATGATGACCTCGTGGAAGTGAAACCCAAGATGGTTATGACAGTGTTTGCATGCTTAATGAGAAAAGGACTGAACAAAATAAAATAATGAAACATTTATTATGATCTTCTGCCACATTAAGCACATTGAATGCCTCACAGTTTACAGAATTCTTAAATGTAGTGGGTATAAAACCAGAGATTATTTGTATGCTCAAAACAGTTGTATGAATCATTAATGAATTTAATATCCTGTTCATACTAGCTAGGATTTGTTGGCCTTTTTGGATAACACAATTAATTTACCAGTCGATACTGATAAGAGTGTGTTCATTTTCAAGATGATATTTTATGATTAAATTATAGTTTCCTGAAAGTCTCATTAAAACAAGACTAATTCATTCTTTTTCATGGCTATGAAAAAGCTAATTCATTCTATTTCATTGCTATAAAACTAGGACTATCCTCTTTTTACTTTTGAGTGCCCGAAGTAACACAAGGCATCCCTTTAAGAGCAGGCCTAATCCTACTAACGTGACAAAAACTTGCACCCCTATCAATCCTATATCAAATCTCACCATCAATCAATCTAAACCTAACACTAGCTTTATCCATACTTTCCATTCTAATCGGAGGTTGAGGTGGTACGTAAATAAAAAATAGATCTACTGAAACGTGGGTCAAAATATGAACATAAAAAAAGGACATATCATGTTGGCACAAGACAAGCAAAATAGATCAATGGAAGAGATGAGAGCAACAAAATAGATCCACACATATACATTCAATAGATTTTCAACAATACTATGAAGGAAAATTTTTTCATTAAACGGTGCTGAAACAACTGGACAACCATAAGAAAAATAAATGCCTTGTCTACTACCTCACACTTACATAAAAATTAATTAAAGGTGGATATTAAGTCTTGATATACAAGCAAAAACTATAAAACTACCAGGAGAAAACAGGAGAATATGTTTGGAGTTTTGGCAAAGCTTCATTAGGACATTTAAAACACACACACACACACACACACACACACACACACAAAAACCTAACCATAAAACAAAAAGTTGATAAAATCAGACCTTGTTAATTCATGACCCAGCAATTCCACCCCTAGATATTTTCCCAAGAGAAATAAAAACATGGTTCTACTAAAAGCACTGTACAAAAATGTTCATAGTAGCATTACTCATAAAAGCCCAAAACGAGAGACAACTCAAATGTTCATCAACAAGATAATGGATAAATAAATTGTGGTTCATTCAAAAAATGGAATATTACTCAACAGTAAAAAGAAACAAGCTAACAATGCATACAATGTCATGGATGAATCTCAAAAATCTTAAGGTAAGCCTTACACAAAAGAAATAATGTATGATTCTCTTTATATGAAGTTCTAGAAAAGGCAAAAGTTCTATGGTGGAAAAAATCTGAACAGTGGTTGCCTTTGTTAAATGCAAAGAGGTGGGCTTCCCTCGTGGCGCAGTGGTTAAGAATCCGCCTGCCGGGCTTCCCTGGTGGCACAGTGGTTGAGAGTCCGCCTGCCGATGCAGGGGACACGGGTTCGTGCCCCGGTCCGGGAAGATCCCACATGCTGCAGAGCGGCTGTGCCCGTGAGCCATGGCCGCTGAGCCTGCGCTTCCGGAGCCTGTGCTCCGCAACAGGAGAGGCCACAACAGTGAGAGGCCCGCGTACCGCAAAAAAAAAAAAAAGAATCCGCCGACCAACGCAGGGGACACGGGTTCGAGCCCTGGTCCGGGAAGATCCCACATGCTGCGGAGCAACTAAGCCCGTGCACCACAACTACTGAGCCCACACACCACAACTACTGAGACAGTGCTCTAGAGCCCGCGAGCCACAACTACTGAGCCCAAGTGCCACAACTACTGAAGCCCGCGTGCCTAGAGCCTGTGCTCCACAACAAGAGAAGCCACCACAGTGAGAAGCCCGCGCACCGCAACGAAGAGTAGCCCCCGCTCACTGCAACTACAGAAAGCCCACGTGCAGCAACAAAGACCCAACACAGCCAAAAATAAATAAATAAATAAAAATTTTTTTAATGGAAAGAGGTAACAAAAGGAATTTGTGAGGTAATGTAAATGTCCTCAAGCTCAATTTGAATGATTACATATAGGTACACGTTTGTCAAAATTTTTCAATCGTACGCTTAAAATTTGTGTATTTAACAAAGCACTGTTAGCAAAAATACATACAAAAAGGTCCACTGTCTTCAAAGTAACAATAATAAGACAGAGAGTTGACTTCTCAACAGAAACCATGGAATACAGAAAACAATAGCAGGGTGTCTTTAAAGGGCTGAAAAAAAAAAAAACAAAAGAACTGCCAACTTAAAATTCTCTGCTTAAAGTATCTTTCCAAAATGAAGATGAAATAAAGACATTTTCAGGCAAACACAAAGTGGGGGAATTCTGTCACTCTAAAAGAAATGATAAAGGGAGCTCTTCAGACAAAAGGAAAATGATCCTAGGAGGAATTATGGAAATACCAAAGGGAGTGAAGAGTATACGAAAGGGTAGATATGAAGGAAAATATAAACATTGACTGTAAAGATCCTTTCTCACCTGGGCAGGAATCTTGGGAGAGTCCTCTGTCCATTATCCATGGCTCTACTCCGAGTTCTAGCTGGACCACGATAGCTGGTTTGAAGATCCAAGACACTGTCCAAGTGAGAGATCAGGCCTTGAGGGTTTGGAAGAAGAGAAACCCTTCTAGAGTTCAATGACCCCACACTCCCAGTCAGGTCACACCCACTCTGCCAAGACCCCAGGCAGATGCAAGTCAACACAAGGCACAGCCTCACCCACAGTGACCAAGTGCCTAAAGGTCTCCAGCATCATGCTGTGGTACAGGGCCTTCTGGCCAGGGCCCAGCAGCCCCTACTCCTCCTGAGTGAAGTCCGCAGCCACATCATCGAAGGTTAACTGCCCCTGAAATGTCACCGTCGTGTCTGCTTAGCTAAGACCCTGATCTCTGCAAAGCTCCCACAAGGGCTGGGAGCAGCATACATGAGAACGTGAGGATGGACTCAGGCGTCCTGAGAAGGTTCTGGCTTCTGAGGGATACTCAAGGCTCCCCGGGGGATCTGGGGGCCTCCATCAGCCATTTCAGAGGAGAGCCCCCATAATACTGAAATGTTTACCCCCTAAGAATCTCACGCATTTCTTGATAAACTAGGGATCCTCCACAAGATCAAAATGTACAGTCATCCTTCAGGATTCCTCTTCCTTTTTATACATCAGGCATAAAAAGATGATGTTATTAACTGCTGATAATAATGTTAACATTTGCCAAGAGTTCTCCAGGCTGAGCGCAATGCTAAGTCAGCACTTTCTCTAACGGAAATTCACTTAACCCTGGAAACAGTCTGAGAAAGTAGTTGCCACTTTCTGGAGTCTGTTTTTTTGTCCTTTCAAAGGAGGAGCCTGAGCTGAGAGAAGTGCACAACTTTTGGAACACAGGTTACGCGGGCTTCATAAGAATTAACAGAGACATGCTCCCTCTTTTAGACAAATCATTCCAGATGATGGAAATACCAGAATCGTTTGTTCATTAAACGGGTGGTAGCTGAAGCCATTCGGGTCAGGAAGTTTCTTGCCGGGGGGCTTTGTGACTAGATCTTCACTGGCTCTAGGGCTTTATTGATACACTTAAGGACTGCAGGACAAGGCGGTTTTCTGCCTCTTCTGTTCATCCCTCCTCGGCCAGAACGACGTGCTGAGGGTCCGAAGTCGGGGGAGTTATGCCCCCTAGCCTGGGGTCCAGGCCCAGCCCATCAGGAGGGAGAGGAGAGGCCACTCACCGGGAGGCAGGCAGCCAAGAGCCCCGTGGCCGTCATCTCTTCCGACTCCGAGCTCTCGACCGAGTCAGAGCTGGGAAAGGCGAGTAACAAACCTCGACGGCGGTCAGGTCCGACCCGCAACGCCCACCCCGGAGTCTCTGCACACAGGGAGGGGCCAGGGCCACGGTCCTCGGGTCCAGTCAGCTCCCGACACCGTCCGTCCCAGGCCCCGGCCGGCCGGACCCCGCAGCTCTCCCGACGGTTACTCCGTCCCCAGACCGCGGACTCCGGAGACCTCGGCCCAGAGCGCCCTCCGGGGAAACTACCAAGACCAGGAGACCCGCGGCGCGGCCTGCCGACCAACACGTGTGCGCCGCTGCCGGAGCCCTGTTCCTGAGCGCACAGAGAGTCAGACTACATTTACCAGAAGACCCTGTGGCGCGACCTACCGACCAACGCGAGAGAGCGACGGGGGAGCCCGGGACGTTGAGACGCCGCTGCGCTGGAGCTTCTGGGAGTTGTATTCCTGCAGCCGACTCTGGACCAGGGCGTCCAGGGAGTCAGACTACATTTCCCAGAAGGCGTGGCGGCGCGGGGGGACCGCCCAATGGGTTTGCGGGGCCGGGCCTAGGCTGGGAATAGGGCCTTCGGGAATCAAAGTCCTGACTCCCGGGCCAGGTCTAGAACGCACTGAGACCACTTTATCTCACTGTAACACACAGAAGCGACTATTGGGCGGGCATCCAGAGGGTCCGGGGAGCCTGAGGATGAGCGTTCTGGGCGTCTAGGAACTCATAATCACACTAACCTTGTCCGCCAGGCGGCGCGCGAGCACCTAGAGTGTCCTACTACATCTCCCAGGGGGCTTCGCGGTGCAGTGGGCGGGTCCAGTCTGCGACCTCTTGGAGCGAGGCATTCTGGAAATTGTAGTCCATTGTCTCCAGGCCTCGTGAGGCCTCTGAGGACAGCCTGCCCTTCACACCAGGTGTGGAAGATGCTACCTTCACAAATATACCTTCCTGGAGATGAAGTAAAAATAAATGTCACCTTACTTGTTTATTTGGTTTGTTGTTATTGGTTTTTTTTATATATATAAATTTATTTATTTATTTGGCTGCGTTGGGTCTTCGTTACTGTGTGTAGGCTTTCTCTAGTTGTGGAGAGCAGGAGCTACTCTTCGTTGCAGTGCGCAGGCTTCTCATTGCATTGGCTTCTCTTGTGGAGCACGGGCTCTAGGCACATGGGCTTCAGTAGCTGTGGCACGTGGGCTCAGTAGTTGTGGCTCATGGGCTCTAGAGCGCAAGCTCAGGAGTTGTGGCTCAAGGGCTTAGTTGCTCCGCGGCATGTGGGATCTTCCCGGACCAGGGCTTGAACTAGTGTCCCCTGCATTGGCAGGCAGATTCTTAACCACTGTGCCACCAGGGAAGCCCTGTGTTTTTTAAATAAGAGACAAAGATGTATTTATTTATTTTGACAAAGACATTTAAATATTATATCCTGTGCCTGGGTGTTTTTGTTTATTAGGTGGGTAATGAAGGCAAGCATCAGTCGTAGGTTGTTGGGTAGTTCTTTCATAAAATGTCATTTTTCAGCTACATCACTCCACAGCCACAGTGGACTTGCCATGTAAGAAGAGGAGATTGGGACACAGGCATGCACAGAGGGACGACCATGTGAGGACACAGGGAGAGGGTGGTCATCTGCAAGCCAAGGAGAGAGACCTCAGAAGGAATCAATGCTGTCGACATTTTGATCTTGAATGTCCAGCCGCCAGAACTGAGAAAATTAACGTCTGTTCTTTAAGCCACATTGTCTGTGGTATTTTGTTATGGCAGCCCTTGCCGACTAGGACAGCAACTCTCACCCATTCTGCCACCCCTTCCTTTGGAGATTAAATTGCTGTTCTGACCACAATGAGATAGCATCACACCCCACAAGTCAAAAGACCCAACAACCCAAAGGCTGTTGAGGATGGGTATGTTGAGAGGCATGATGTTACCCCCTAAAGCCACACACATCCTTTAAACACTTTAAAGTGTCAAAAATAAGCACACTCATTAACACGACCCAAATCTATGCTACCCTACAATGAGTACAAATATGAAGTCAAGGTAGAAATGCAAAATCTAGGGAATTCCCTGGTGTCCAGTGGTTAGAACTCCACGCTTTCACTGCAGGGGGCCCAGGTTTGATCCCTGTTCAGGGGACTAAGATCCTGCAAACAGCATGGTGTGGCAAGAAAGAAAAAAAAAAAAAAACACCAAATCTATTCTTTGTGGCCAGACTTTCAGTATTCTGACTTACTTAGAAATTGTTCCAGTATCCAAAGATCGTTAAATAATTAAGAAATTAGCATGAGTCCAATCTCTTAATGTTAAGTTAGGTTCTTGGAAATTATCCTTCAGTTGATACCACATGGATCATAATTACCATTGATATAAAAATGTGTCAGAATGATAATTCAACTTAGTTGAACATGTTTTTTGTTTGTTTGTTTTGGCCGCACTGTGCTGCAGCATGTTGAACTTCCCTGACCAGGGATGGAACCCGTGCCCCTGGCAGTGGAAGCTCAGAGCCTTAACCACTAGACTACCAAGGAAGTCCCAGGTTACATTTTTTAAAAATCTTAAACATTATGTGAAACTAATAGTCATATATCTGATTAGATTCTAAAAGAAACAGAACACAGTTAAAATTAGCTCTTTCAGGACAAATACCATATAATATTACTTATAGGTGGAATCTAAAATATGACACGAATGAACATATCTACGAAACAGAAACAGAGTCACAGACACAGAGAACAGACCTGGGGTTACCAAGGGGTAGGGGGTGTGGGGGAAGGATCTCAGAGAGGCAGCAGTGAGTGGTGGCGTGAAGCAAGATCTTAATTCCCTGCCCAGGAATTGAACCTGGGGAGCCTGGATGAAAACCAGGAATCCTGGCCACTACACCCCATGGCTTTTGCCCCCAGTGAAAAGTGCATTTCTCACGGAGGCAAAAACAGGTACAGAGTTTATTATTAGAGACAGCACAAAAACAAGTGGGAGAGCACACAGAGAAGCAGTTTGTTTCGTTAAGACAGAAGCAAGGCAGAGATGCACACCCGGAGAAAAAGGGTGTGGGCATCCTCCCTAATGAGGAGGAGACCAGTAAAGAGGCGGTTAAGTCATTCATATAGGGCAGTTCTTCCGGGTCTCTGTTTACCTCTGGCCAATCATCTGGTATCTTTTTCCACACCTGCCCTGCCCTAGGACCCTCCCCAACATGCGTGCTCAACTTTTTTATTTTTTCAGTACGTGGGCCTCTCACTGTTGTGGCCTCTCCCGTTGCGGAGCACAGGCTCCTGACGCGCAGGCTTAGCGGCCATGGCTCACGGACCCAGCCGCTCCGCGGTATGTGGGATATTCCCGGACCGGGGCACGAACCCGTGTCCCCTGCTTCGGCAGGTGGACTCTCAACCACTGCGCCACCAGGGAAGCCCTCAAATTTTTGTAATAACCTATAAGGGAAAAAAATCTGAAAAAGAATATATATATATATATATATATATATATATATATAAAACTGGATCACTTTGCTGTACACCTGAGACTAACACAACACTGTAAATCAACTCTACTTCAATAAAAATAAATAAGTTAAAATCTAAAAAAGTTTTTAATAAAAAGGTAAATTACCTCAAAGGAAAAATATCAATATGGCCGTTTAATTTTCCTTTATGTCAGAGGAGAAAAGTGTCTCTTCAGGCTACTCTGTCGAGTCTTGTATGATGTAACATAATCACGAAAGCGAGGGCCCCAGCGCGCTCACAGGTTGCTCTGGCCACTCAGGGTCGGGGACCATAGGGGGCGTGTGTACCCGCAGGCAAGGATCTCAGGGGCTACCTCAGCATCCTGCCCCCCATACAAGCGTTCTTCTTTAGATGGCATCTTGCATTCACAGCCCTGTCAGAATCCACAGATAGCTCTCCCCAGCTTCTTCCCCTGTAACAGCGGTGTGGTTACTTGCAGAGGTTCTCTAAGACTCCTTTTTATCAGGAGAGAACTAGACGGAATCAGTCAGACAGCCGAGCCCATACCTGGAGTGTCACACTTAAGAATAAACCGCGTCACATGACAAGCCCTCCGAGGAGGAACCAGGGCTGGACTTCCTCTGTGGCAACCACACCCCCAAAGCCCCGCCCCCAGAAATGCCCTGGAACCTATTCTGTGACTTATAAGGCCCCAGCTTCACGGGTAGGACGGAAATCCTCTCCCGGCAGGCCTGGGAACCTAGCAGATTTAAGGCTTCAAGGAGAGAATACACTCCAATATATAGTTTCAAAGTCAAAATGAATAGATTTTAATTGGAATCCTCAGACAATGTGGTGGGAATGTAAAACCGTGCAGCCACTTTGGAAAATGCTCTGTTAGTTCTTCAAATAGTTAAACATAGAATTACCATGTGGCCCATCGAGTCCACTCAAATCCCCAAGAGACTTGAAAACACACATACACAAAACCTACCCTGTTCACAGCAGCATTATTCACAATAACCAAAAAGTGGAGGCAGCTCAGATGTCCCTCAGCTGACAAACAGATAAACACGTCGTGGTCCATTCATACAATGGAATATCACTCAGCTATAAAATGGAATGAAGCTCTGATAGATGCTACAACACTGATGAACCTTGAAGACATTATGGTGGGTGAAAGAAGCCAGACACAAAAGACCACATGAGACATGATTCCATTTACATGAAATGTCAAGAAAAGGCAAATCCATAGAGATGGAAAGCAGGTTAGTGGTTGCCAGGGCTGAGAGGATGATGGGAAGTGGTGGCTCCTGGGTTTGATGTTTCTTTATTGGGTGATGACAATGTTCTCTGATTGTGGTGATGTCTGCATAACTCTGAGTGTAGACTAAAAGCACTGAATTGTCCACTTCAAGTGGGTGAGTGGCGTAGTGTGTGAATTCTATCTCAACAAACCTGTGAACGTAGGAGCCAAATTTAAAGGAAGACAAGAAGATGACCACCGTCGTAGGGATGACGCCCAGGGCCTGAAATTTGGGGAACGCCAGGTGGTGGCATTCCAAGCCTCCCTGGGTGAGCTTGGACCCATCACTGATTTGTTTCTAAACCTCACTTTCCTCGTTGATGTCACAGGGATTGAGGTTCCCTCACCACCAGGTTATGGTGTGGAGTAAAAATAGTGTCTGGCACATAAAGCATTAGCGGAAAACCTGGCCGGTAGTAGCGAAAGAACAGTTTGTGAAGGGGACAGGCTTTGGGGTGATTCACCTTGGGAAATTTATAGAGCCCTAGGAGCCAGGCCATGGGGATGTGCAGGGCTGACCACATGTCTCCCACTAGGTGGTCACGCGGGATCTTAGTTCCCCGACCAGGGATAAAACCCGTGCCCTCTGCAGTGAAAGC